CCAGCTGGTCGGCGCATCTGCTCGGACTGGCCGACGTCGACGAGGCCGGTTGCGGCGAGTCGAGACAACTGTTCGGCGATCTGGTCGACGCCTATCGGCAGATCCTCGTCGGCCTCGGCGAGAACACGCAGCGGCAGGGTCTGCTGAAGACGCCGGAGCGCGCGGCCAAGGCGATGCTGTACTTCACGAAAGGCTACGAGGAGCGCATCTGCGACCTGCTCAACGGGGCCATCTTCGACGAGGACCACGACGAAATGGTGGTCGTGAAGGACATTGAAATGTTTTCCATGTGCGAGCATCATTTGGTACCTTTTGTCGGCCGCGTCTCCATCGGCTATCTGCCCGACAAACGCGTCCTCGGACTCAGCAAACTGGCTCGCATCGTCGAGGTCTACTCGCGCCGTCTGCAGGTGCAGGAGCGTCTCACCAAACAGATCGCCGTCGCCCTCGCCGACGCCGTCCAACCGAAAGGCGTCGGCGTCGTCATCGAGGCCACGCACATGTGCATGGTGATGCGCGGTGTGCAGAAGATCAACGCGGCCACCGTGACCAGCACGATGCTGGGCCACTTCAAGGAGGAGCGCACGGTGAGAGACGAATTCCTCGCCCTGATCGGCAAACGCTGACTCGATCCGCCGCTCGCCCAACCAAAAATTCACACAAACACACACACACACACACACGCCTATGCATACACATGTATACACATGCAGCTAAACAGGCATGCATACAAACATACACATATTCACTCACACATGAACACATGTTTTGATACATGCCTATTTATTTGAGTAGTCATGTGTGTAGGTATGAATGTGTGAATTCACATTGACACGTATATATGCATACAATATGTACACGCATTCACACACACACAGACAAACACACGCCTATGCATACACATGTATACACATGCAGCTAAACAGGAATGCATACAAACAAACACACATTCACTCACACATGAACACATGTTTTGATACATGCCTATTTATTTGAGTAGTCATGTGTGTAGGTATGAATGTGTGAATTCACATTGACACGTATATATGCATACAATATGTACGCGCATTCACACACAGACAAATACACGTATACATATGTAGCTAAACATGCATGCATTGATGCCTATATACAAACATACACACATTCACTCACACATGAACACATGTTTTCATACATGCCTATTTATTTGAGTAGTCATGTGTGTAGGTATGGATGTGTGAATTCACACTGACACGCATATATGCATACAATATTTACGCGCATTCACATACACACAGAGACA